TAAACAAATGGGACTTAATGAACTGAAAAGCTTCTGTACAGCTAAGGAGACAACAACCAAAGCAAATAGACAACCTACACAATGGGAAAGGATATTTGCATATTTTGAATCAGACAAAAGCTTGATAACTAGGATCTATAGAGAACTCAAATTAATACACATGAAAAAAGCCGACAATCCCATATATCAATGGGCAAGAGATATGAATAGAACCTTCTCTAAAGAAGACAGACAAATGGCAAACAAACATATGAAAAAGTGATCATCATCCCTAATTATTAGAGAAATGCAAATCAAAACCACTCTGAGATATCATCTAACCCAGCGAGAAGGGCCCACATCACAAAATCTCAAAACTGCAGATGCTGCTGTGGATGTGGAAAGAAGGGTACACTTTTACCCTGCTGGTGGGACTACAAACTAATACAACCTTTTTGGAAGGAAATATGGAAAGCCCTCGAAGAACTCAAGCTAGATCTCCCATTTGATCCTGCAATCCCATTACTGGCTATCTACCCAGAAGGAAAAAAATTATTTTACCATAAGGACACTTGCACTAGACTCTTTATTGCAGCTCAATTTACAATTGCCAAAATGTGGAAACAGCCTAAATGCCCACCAACCCAGGAACGGATTAACAAGCTGTAGTATGTATATACCATGGAATACTATTCAGCCATTAAAAAGATGGAAACTTTATATCCTTTGTATTAACCTGGATGGAAGTGGAACACATTATTCTTAGTAAAGCATCACAAGAATGGAGAAGCATGAATCCTATGTATTCAATTTTGATATGAGGACAGTTAATGACAAGGGGAGAGGTAAGCAGAGAGAGGAAGAAGGAAGGAGGAGTGGGGAAGGGCTTAGCAGAGAGAGGGAAGAAGGGGTGGGGTCTTGGTGTGTGCCACACCTTTTGGGGGCAAGACACGATTGTAAGAGGGACTTGACCTAACAAATGCAATCAGTGGGGAAAAAAAATAGGTATCTGAAAAAAAAAAAGACTGAAACTGGACCTGCACCTTTCTCCACTCACAAAAATTGATTCAAGATGGATAAAAGACCTCAATCTAATACACAAAACATTAAAAATCCTCAAAGAAAGTGTGGGGAAAACATTTACAGCTATCAGCCCAGGGAAAGAATTTATGAAGAAGACATCTATGGCAATTGCAAAAACAACAAAAATAAACAACTGGGACTTAATTAAACTGAAAAGCTTAAACCAAAGCAAATAGACAACCTAAGCAATAGGAAAAGATATTTGCATATTCTAAAGCAGACAGAAGCTTAACTAAGATCTTCAGAGACTCAAACTAATCAACATAAAAAGAGCTAACAATCCCTTAGATCACTGGTCAAGAGAGATTAATAGAACCTTCTCTAAGAAGACAGACAAATGGCTAACAAACATGAAAAAATGTTCATTATCTCTAATTATCAGAGAAATGCAAATCAAAACCACCCTAAGATATCACCTAACCCCAGTGAAAATGGCCCACATCACAAAGTCTCAAAGCAGCAGATGCTGGTATGAATGTGGAGAGACAGGAGCACTTTTACACTGCTGGTAAGACTGTAAACTAATACAACCTTTTTGGAAGGAAGTATAGAGAACCCTCAAAGAACTTAAACTAGACCTCCCATTTGATCCTGCAATCCCATTACTGATCTACCCAGAAGAAAAAAATCCTTTTACCATAAGGACACTTGCACTAGACTGTTTATCACAGCTCAATTTACAATCACCAAAACATGGAAACAGCCTAAATGTCCACAAACCCAAGTACGGATTAACAACAAGCTGTGGTTTATGTATACCATGGAATACTATTCAACCACTAAAAAAGATGGAGACTTTACATCTTTTGTATTAACCTGAATGGAAGTGGAACACATTTTTCTTAGTAAAACATCACAAGAATGGCGAAGCAAGAATCCTATGTACTCACTCCTGATATGAGGAAAATTAGTGACCTATTACACGGTGGGGTTGGGGTAAGGGGAAAGGAGGAAAGGGGAAGAAGTGAGGGGGTGAGGAGTCATGGCCTGTGGCACATTTTTAGGGGTGGGACACAATTATAAGAGGGACTTTACCTAAAAAATGCAATCAATGTAACCTGGTTCTTTGTACCCTCAATGAATCCTCAACAATAAAAAAAAAATGGTAATAATAATAGCAGATTTACCCTGAACATTCCAGACCAGGTATTACCTCTCTCCTTTCAAGTCCTGTATTGTTTATGTTGATGATTTGATATTTAGTTTTATATTGTCTTGTATTTTTTTTTTTTTGAGACAGTCTTGCTCTGTCACCCTGGCTAGAGTGCCATGGTGTCATAGTTCACAACAACCTCAAACTCTTGGGCTCAAGTGATCCTCTTGCCTTAACCTCCTGAGTAGCTATTGTCTTGTATTGTTAATTAATTTTTTAATGTATCTATGTCTTCTTTTCCCATAGAAATTTTAAATTCCTTCAGAACAGAGATTAAGGTGTTTACTTCTTTCTGTCCTATACAATGCCTTGAACCAACAGTACTATGCATATAGTAGTGATTCAGTAAAACATTTGTGAATGAATTGATGATGATGAAATTCAAACTGTTAGTATCAGAATTCAAGAATAAAATCAGCTGTATAGAACCACATAAGAATGAAATGAGACTGTCACCTGAAACCATTCTTTCCATTTACAATGTTATTTCTACACCCATTAGAGTTTCCTGTTTTAGCCAACTTTTATGGTGTGTTTCATTTCAGTTTATTTCCCCTCTTCAGCACCTCCCTTCCACTGACCCCTGCCCCACCCCCAAATTCTTACACATTTGGTTTATTTTAAATCTCCCATGATTCCATAACTGGCATCCTGTGTTGGCTTCACTGGCCATTCCAACCGTGCCCTCACCTTCTTTCATCTACCAAACCATACTCCTCTTTCCTGCCAAGTCCATACCCTCCACCTATCTATCTGTGTACTCTTTTAAGTATAATTTTATAACCATACCTAATAATATTTCCCACAAAAAGAAATACAAATGGCCACTAAACTTATGAAAGGGTACTCAACACTCTAATACTCAGAGAAAGGCAAATTAGAACAAGACCATTCTTTCTTCCTATGATTAAAAAGAATAATAATAACCAGTGCTAGTCAAGGTGTGAGAAAATGAGAACTCTCATGCATGGTTGGTTGAAATGTAAATTGGCACAATGTTTCTGGATGGATAATCAGGATTTTCATGAATTAACCTTGTTTAGACTTGAATTTCTAAGTTGAAATTCTATTTTCATTTATTTTTTTTTTACTTCATGCTTTGTGCCTGGCACCTTTAACTGGTTTTAACTACCTCCCTAAGGCAAAACATAAGGCTTGGGAAATTTAAACATACCTGTTACATACAAATACAGTTAATATTTTTTAAGGTCTCTGTTGGCCTCTAATGGAGACTGAAAACATAATGTAAATACAAGGACAATGTTTTTGTTTGAAGTAGAAAAGAGGGTAGAACCTGAGATTGCTAATAGTCTTTCCATTTTATAGACTAATTATCTGAACATAGTATGATTATTTTAATTCCGAGAGGAAAGGGGTAGAGGTGGGCAATGTATTTTCCTATATAAGTAGTGACTTCTGCAGGTTACTTTAAATCCCAGCTTTTTTCTTATGCTATTTAAATGGAAGGGAGATCTCCCTTCTAGAAAAGTTTTTTCTCCATCCATCTTCAGGCTTTAAAATTCTGTTGTAAGCCTACTATTAAGAGTCAAGGTTACAGTTTGTTTTCAGCTTTCTGTGTCTAAGCCAGAAAAATGTACTATAAGTTATGTAGTACACTTAGAACTTTGGGTGACCTGCATTTATAACCAGATCTACATTATAAAGAGACACTTTATAATTAGATTTTCACTTAATAATGCCTAATGTTTATATTGGTCATATTTTTCAAAATGATTATTACATTGTACTTCTTTGAAAAAGAAAAATTCCAAGAATTTAACTAGAAACACATACACAAAACAAAACAAACATAAAACTTCCAAGATGGTGCCAGTTTCCTTTATCCAATTCTATTGATAATGTGTCATTCTGAGTTCTCACTCTTCCCCAACTTTTAAAACAAGTTATCAAAGTGAACTGAGACATCCCATTGCTTTGAAAGGATTATAGTTTGCAGCTCGGTGCCTGTATAGCTCAGCGGCTAGGGTGCCAACCGTGTACACTGGAGCTGGCAGGTTCAAATCCAGCCAGGGCCTGCCAAACAGTAATGACAACTACAACCAAAAAATAGCTGGGCATTGAGGTGGGCACCTGTAGTCCCAGCTACTTGGGAGGCTGAGGCAAGAGAATCGCTTAAGCCCAGGAGCTTGAGGTTGCTGTGAGCTGTGACGCCATGGCACTCTACCCAGGGCGACAGCTTGAGACTCTGTCTCAAAAAAAAAAAAAAAAAGAAAGAAAGAAAAAGAAAAAAAAAGATTATTCTTTGCTATGCATTTGGAAAGAAGCCCCCCAGGTGGGGTGTGGTGGCTCATGCCTATAATTCTAGCACTCTGGGAGGCTAAGGCGGGTGAATTGCCAGAGCTCACAGGTTTGAGACCAGCCTAAGCCAGAGCAAGACCTCATCTAAAAATTGCTGGCCATTGTGGCAGGCACCTGTAGTCCCAGCTACTCAGGAGGGTGAAGCAAGAGAATCACTCCTAAGAGTGGAGGTTGCTGTGAGCTATGACGCTAGCACTCTACAGAGGATGACAAAGTAAGGCTCTGTCTCAAAAAAAAAAAAGAAAGAAAGAAAAGAAACCCCCCAAACTTCACTTGGGCCAAAATTCTACCTCATCTTGTAATTTCAGAGGTTGTAGACCAGAGATTGTATTACTTTTATTCCTCAGCTTGTTAGCTTTGTTATTGTTGCCATGTCATCTCCCTACCTTTCCACAACTGCTTTCCGGTCTGAAAACAGGGGTGCCATGTATGAAGTGATTCTTCTGACATTACTTTCTACTGGCAGGTGTAGAAGATGCCTTCAGTTTCACCTCCAAAGTTATGACTGTGTCTCTGCACAAATTCTCCCCAGGATTTTTCCCAGGCAAGTGATCTATGTGCTTAGTATTATATTTGCTGATTGAACACTGCAATTCTTCTAAATATTTCTTATATCTTATATTTGGATAGTTCCATGCTGTTAATACCTTATTGATGTTATTCTATGAAAAATTTTAACACAGGTCACTTCAGGTGACAATAACAAGAGGAATGACAGTAATACTGTTTTTTTTTTTTCTGCCAGATGATTTTTATGAACTGTCAATGGACAGATCATTTATGCTTACTGTACTATCAGATACTTCATGTAACTCCTAACATCCTGATAATTGCACTGATATGTTGATATTATGTTAGCCTAAGAAACATGAAAAGTCAAGCAGAGGAGTTAATTTCTTATTTTTTATTTGATACAGTAAGATAGAAACTAAGGTTTTTCAGTTTCCTTGTGGTTTACATGCTTCCCAAATATTGTTTACAGTAATTACTTCTATATACATAGTATTATTTTTCTTAATTTAATTCCCTTAGAAACCATCACTAATTCAGGATTGTTCTCCTATTTGAACTTTTTGGTCTTCTGAATTCCTATCAGAGAAGCCTTTAAGTTTTCTTGTTTCTCATATTCTTAATAACTGATCATGGTGTTCTTCTCTTTTACAGGAACAGGTGATGTGTCTGATGTTGGCCTAGGGAAGGGACGGTACTACAGTGTAAATGTGCCCATTCAAGATGGCATACAGGATGAGAAATATTACCACATCTGTGAAAGGTATAGGAATAATACTGAGCCAGTAACAAATGGATTGGATTTTTATAGGATGAAATGGCCCCCATATCACAGAATTCGTATTTAAGGAACAATGTGAAAATCACAGTATACCCACATAGATTTCATATACTGATCATTATGCTTATTTGATCAGGTAGCCATCCCCTGTTTATGAGAGCCAAGCAGTTAGACCATAGCCATGTTCCAGGTTTGATCTTACCTGCTATCTGGTATGATTAAGGCCATCCTAGATAGGAAAGCTTATAGGCTGTCCTGGGGAATCCCTTGTTTGGTACTTTCTTAGCTAAAGAAACCTGCATGCGTGTGATTTCATTAGCCTGGCAAGCTTCATTATGTAGGTTCTTGAGTTCTGTCCACTGTGTTAAAATTGGGGTCAGAAATGTTTCCTATCTATACTAAGCATTAAGATTGCAGGCACCTGCAGGCAGACAATTTGGTGCCAATGTGTAGACCACTGGGTTGGGAAAGCCCTACAGAATGGGGGGGCATTAAACTCATATTAATAAAAATTGAGATTGGTCATGCACAGATTCACTGCTGACAGTGGCAGCAGGGAAAGTAAGTAGTGAAAATTGAGGTAGTCTTGATCCCTCCAATTCTACTCAGATTTCTCCTAACCTCTGGTAGAAAACAGTGCCTTCCCAAAGGAGCCTGCCTGCCCTGACCATCATCACTGGTAGTTGTATAAACAAAGTGAAACTATTAAAAAATTTTTTAAAAATGTTTCAAAAATGCCTCTTAGCTCAAGAGATTTGGCAGCCAATTCATTCAGTCATTCAGCAGCACTGGCCTCCTTAATATTTTGATCATGTCCTGGGCTACCTCTGTATTAATACACCAGGCTGACAAAGCCCTTTTTTGAAGCCTGCCATTGATGGTTTAATTGTCTTTATTCATTCCCCTTAGGCCAGCAGTTCTCAACCTGTGGGTTGCGACCCCTTTGGACTGTATTAAAGGTTGGTGGCATTAGGAAGGTTAAGAACCACTGCCTTAGGCTCTCTTCTGTCCTTGAGATGCACAGATCAGAACTGCTTATGTAACTTTACCAGTGAAGATGTCCTGTGGTTCTGTGTAAAAGAAGAATTGTTTTGTTTTTCTTTTAATCCCCTTCCTGACAATACCCAACATTTTGTTGCCCTTTTCTTTTGCCATAGCAAGAAACAAGGTTGTTCTCTTCGGTGCACTGTCCACAGGGTTTCTGAGAGCTCTTCCTGGGTCTTAACTGAAAGGTCAGCACTCATCATCCTGCAAGTATAATTTGTAATATCTGGCCCTCCCTAAATGGATCACCTTACATGTATCCCTATCTAAACTCACCTGCCAATCATGAAACCTCCTGAGATTTCTCTTTATGTTCCATCAACTTGGCATTTCACTGCCTGGAAAAGCTGAGTATTATATAGAGACTTGAGGATTTCTCAGTGTTCACTCCCAAGGAAGTCTACTGTTTATCCTTCTTCAGTCAGAAAAATGTCTGTTTCTCTCCTGTATTTTCTTTTTTTCCCTATAAACCAGTTCCTACCACATGATTTTAGAGTATTTTAACTTCCATGATAATTCATGTTTAAAAATAGCCTTAGTATCAAACTTAATTAGAAGCATTTTAAAAGTAATTTAAGGCCCAGTATGGTGGCTTATCCCTGTAATCCCAGCACTTTGGGAGGCCAAGGTGGCAGAATCACTTCAGACCAGGAATTCAAGACCAACCTAAGCAACATAATCATTGATGATTTAATTCCCTGTTTCTACAAAAAAAAAAATAGAGAAAATTAGTTGGGCATGGTGTATGCCTGTAGTCCCAGCTACGGGGGAGGTTGAGGTGGGAGGATAATCGGAGCTCAGGAGTTGAAGGTTGCCATGAGCTATGACTACACCATTGCACTCGAGCCTGGTCAACACAGTGAGATCCTATCTCAAAAAAGAAAGAAAGAAAGAAAAGTAAGTTTAGCCCTAAGGAAAATATCCATAGAAGATTATACATGATTTCCTTCACAAAAACCATGTTGCCATCTGCACCCCAATAGATTGATGGCTTTTGTGTACTAGAGGCTAGCATTTATTAAAGATTCTTCCAGCTTGCCTACTAAAGAACCAGACACTCATCAGTTTATAGTTCCCAGGGCCCCTTTTGCCTATGGAGCCACACCAGCAATCCACATAGTGATCATCAAGAGTAACATATCCCAGGTATTCATTAGCGGTACAATGATTTTTTTTTTCCTTTGATCTCCTTAAGAAGTCAACTCTGGTCAGGGCATTACATGATGGCATCTCTGATCTGAGGATGCCAGAAAGGCTTCCTGGCCCAAACATCCCTCCCATCTGCTGGACTCCCCTTCCTTTTTCTTCCCTTTTCTTTCCTTTCCTTTTCTCCTTCCTTTCTTTCTCTTCTTTCTTTTCTTTTTCTCCTTCCTTCTTCTGTCCCTTATTCCTTATTTATTTCCTTTTTAAATAAGATAATTTTTTCTCCTGCTTTAGTCTTTGTTACTTTGCCACCTAGTGAGGGAGGAACTTAATGATTTCATCTTAAGGTTGGAATACTCTTATTTATCAAAGAATTGGCTTAGAGTTCTTTTTGTAATAGACTGGATATGAAGTCTTTATGTGAACATTTCCCAAAGCCAAAAGACCTTGGGTACTATTTTATGTAAATAACAATTTCACAGTTAGATCTCCTTAGGTCATTCAATACTAAAGGCAAGGGCCACTAATTCCCAAAAGCTTCCCATAATTTCTCTAGGAACTACTAGAGTTGGTATTCTAGAGTGGGTCCTAAAAAAGAACCCTATTTTGCATGTTGCCCCCTTCAAATGTAAGTTTATGACCCAATAATAGAGATGACAGGGGTATTTTGATTTACCTGAAAGCCTGCCAACCCGGCCCCCAGGCCATACACACATACGCCCACAGAGTTTGGTGGGAGAGGGGGCTATTCTGAAAAATACAATTTGCTAGTTCACACACTTTGTCAACTGGAAAAGGAAATATCACTCTGCCTATGTGTAACCTGTTTGCCTCTGAGTATATTTGAGTGCACTCTGAGATATCTTAGTGTTTATCACCTAAAATGCTGTGTTGATGACTTTGAAGGAATTTATAGTTAAGGACTATGAAAGAAAAGGACAGTAACAAATACTGCTTTGCTGATGGCTCTAGGGAGGGTTTGATATGTAGCAGAGCACCACTCTCAGACCTCAAATCTTGCAATATGATCCAACTACTTGCCTACTTTGAACTACCATGACATACACAGAGTTTTGTTTTGTTTTTTATTGTGACAGAGTCTCACTTTGTCACCCTCGGTAGAGTACATCACAGCTCACAGCAACCTCAAACTCTAGGCCTCAAGCGATTCTCTTGCCTCAGCTACCCTAGTACCTGGGACTACAGGTGCCCACCACAACGCCCGCTCTTTTGTTTTGTTTTGTCTTTTGTTTATCAGGCCTGGGCCGGGTTTGAACCCACCAACCCTGGAGCATGTGGTCAGCACCCTAACCACTGAGCTATGGGTACCCCTAACATGAAAAGTTTTAGTGAAGAAATTCAGAGTTGTGCTGATACTTCTTGCTTTGTATCCTACCTATGATTTTATAGCCCTAAAAATAAGAAAGTGTTCTTCCTAAATATCTGATTAATTATATATCTCATAGAAAAATTATATATATGGTGCTCATAATGTGTATGAAGTCAGCATAGTATATGCATCCTAAAAAGTTTTTGGGAAAAAAAATCACATTAAGAATAACGAACTGGCTCAGTGCCTGTAGCTCAGCAGCTAGGGCGCCAGCCACATACACCGGAGCTGGCAGGTTCGATTCCAGCCCAGGCCTGCCAAACAACAATGACAACTACAACAACAACAACAAAAAAAAATAGCAGGGCATGGTGGCAGGCGCCTGTAGTCCCAGCTACTTTGGAGGCTGAGGCAAGAGAATCACTGAAGCCAAAGAGTTAGAGGTTGCTGTGAGCTGTGACACCACAGCACTCTACCCAAGGCGACAGCTTGAGACTCTGTCTCAAAAAAAAAGAACGAACTGTTGGCTCGGTGCCCATAGCATAGTGGTTACAGTGCCAGCCACATACTGAGGCTGGTGGGTTCAAAACCAGCACAGGCCAGCTAAACACCAATGATAACTGCAACACAAAATAGCTAGGCATTGTGGCGGGCACCTGTAGTCCCAGCTCCTTGGAAGGCTGAGGCAAGAGAATCACTTAAGCCCAAGAGTTTGAGGTTGCTATGAGCTGTCATGCCACAGCACTCTACCAAGGACAACCTAGTATGACTCTGTCTCAATTAAAAAAAAAAGAATAACTAACTATTAAACTTTGTAAGATAATTAAGTACAAACATTGGGTCAATATTTCTCCAAAGGAAGACACATTGTTAAATAGACTTCTCAATGAATAGTACTCATGAAAAGATTCCATTAAACTGGAGTTCTCATTCAGTAGCAGTCTTTATGTGCAAAACTTTGCTAATTAGATCTATCAACCTGACCAAAGGAATAACCTTATTTTAATGAATCAGAGTTCATAATAGTAGTCATTAAAATAAGAAGCTACCTATATTTGGTCATTGGCTTATTTATCTTAGAGTGCTGTGGCTTATATTGTATAGTTCAAAATTGAAAGAAACTTTTCTCCCTACAAAGAACATTGAACAAAAAAAAATTCAGAGACCTCAGAAATTTTTTTAAAATTTAATATTTTTCCCTCCTTCCTTTTATGAAAGAAATATTACACTTTTCTATTTTAAATAATCCTTTTATAGTTCTTCAGCTACTTTACTGGAACATTAATTCTACTGTTACTGGGCTAACAAGAGTAGCCTACCCTGAAAAAACTTGTTCTCTAGGACAACAGCAGGGTCATTAGACGAATATAAGCTCATTTAAGCCTAAGTTTTTATTCCTGAGAAGAATCTTTTCATCCAGCTATACTGAGTTCCACTGATATCCAATAAGGAAGAGAAATAAAAA